GCGCAATACTCAGAGCTACCATTGTGATTTTTTAAATTTTTTTTTGAGAAGGCATATTTCCAAAAACTAATTTTTTTTATATAAAAATTCGATGTAAAAAATTTTTCAACAAAAAAAAAGAATTTTTTTTTTTAATTTTTATTTTCATAGAGAATTTTGATGTGTGTTTTTTTTTGAATTTTTTCCTCGCCCCGTTCTCCGGAGATATTTGGAAAACTATTATATCGATTTGTGTTTTTTGTGCTGTTAAGTTTTTAAAAACATATTAACCAAGCTCAAATTTCATATTTATTTATTATTTATATTTATGCATCAACCCTAAAAATTTGAAACAAATCAAACACATGAAAGGTGAACCCCGTCCGTTTTGGTATGGAACACCCCACTTACATACATATATACATGCATACATATGTACATACCTCAATGGAAACATTTGCGCGTCATTAGCATGTTCTTGTGGGCCAATTTCACACTGCTGAAAAATAGGGGATCGTCATTTTAGCTATATATATATGTTGGTATTTATAGCAAATCTTATACCCAGCAAACATTTTTGAATGCGGGAAAATGTTCATTACTCCATTTTAATTGGAGTTTCTTCTTATTGCTTACGCACCATCAGTTATAAGCACTCGTCTACCTTTTAACAAGTCGTCCAAAAGATGTAGACGATTCGACTTCTACAACTCTTCTGAAAAAGTCATAGATGAATTGCTCTCTCTTATAGAATATTTAAAAGCAAATCGTATAAAATATTATATATATATATATAACATATTGGCAGGTTTTCACAATTTATGCTTTTATTATGCTCAACTGCAAAAAAAGAAAAACTAATGAAAAACGCAAGTTGTTCTTGTAAAATAAAAAAATACTAGTGAACCCGGATGGCGTTAAGACGCCAAAATTCTAATTTAACTTTTGAAATGGATGGTTTTTCATTCCATAAAATTTCACATCACCCTGTACCGCCATGAAAATAAAAAAATCTACAGGTCCAGTTCTTTAATTCCACAAATCATTTTTGAAATTCGAAATAACCCTTTTACATAAAGTTAAAAAATAAAGACTTTTAAAGCCATTTCGATTGATACCCATATTGTAATAATTGATTTAACTTATTAAAACATTTGAATTAAATTTTTAACAGGTGGCATCTCCTTTTTAAAAAATAAAACCTTGCTCATCAGCAGGTCAATCCCTTTAAGTTGATATCTCAATTTTGAAAATCGAACGAACGGTTCCGAACGGCATTTATTATTAAATAATTTGAATGAAATTTTTTAGAAGGTGGCAACTCTTTTTGGAATATAAAACCAGTTTGCACATCTGCAATGGGATGTCCATTTTTGAAAATCGAGCGAGCGGTGCAAATCCTGAACAAAAAATGCCTTCGCGTATTATATATATAGATATTCTTAATTCCCACATACTCTCCTGTGTCAATCAATAATTAGTTTACCGCTCCCCAATTGATTTAAATTTATTTCATAAAACTTTCCATACATTTATGCGCGAAATAAATAAGGGTCCTGAGGTTTTTACTTTCAATATAGGTTTATTATATAGTATATAGTAAATAGCGTGTTTTTCACTGTTAAATTTTTTAGTCATCTCCTTCGTAATTAATGCAGTAGAGGGTTAAGAACGTATTTTTTTTTTTTTATTGCACAAAGTTTGAAAAGTGGATTTATCTACAGGGGTTTGTTAAATAATTTGCATTAAAAAAACAACTAAAATTAAATAGCAAAAAAGTGGTGAAAACTTATTAATAGGTGCGGCTATGATTTTTTTGACCACTGTAATTTTCAAAAGAGGCTTAACAATTACTTATTTAACAATGAAATAATAATGGTTTCAATGTCTTAACGGTCGCGCAAGATATACAAATTGAATTTCACTCATACTTTATAGTCTTCAAAACCAATTTTATCCAACACTCCTTCAAAAAAGCCCTAGAATCTTTGTTTGTATTCCGTTGTTTATTTTATAGACTTCTTGGAAGATTCGTGCATTCATTTTGTTTTTTGACTATAGGAAAAATTTGAAATTTTCATATCTTTTAAAATTCTTTGACGATCTGTCCTAATGCAACCACCTACTTTACTGTGCTTTACGCGTTAGTCATGAGTCTTGAGTGCGAAAATTATGAAAATACTTTAACAGAATGGGAAATTGGCCAAATACGCACGCAACATTCATTCGTACATATGTATGTATGTATGTAAAAAATGTATATATATTAGCGAAAATGCGCGCCATTTCTATCTCTCCAATAATTCACTTGATGTTATTCATCAGAGAATAATTTGAAATAATATGCCAATTTATCTGAAACGTATGCGAGTACCCCCCAAGAGCGATGTCCAGATGAGTACACCAATCGCTGGACAGCGCCCCCTGACATTTGTTTTGTTTTCGTAGTATATCTAAATATATGTACATATGTACATACAAATGTATGAAAATATTTTTGTACGACTCATTTAAAATATTCTTGAATGTGCGCTGGGAAAATTATTCTCATTTCAAATGGCTAAATGATCGCACAAAAATCAGAATTTCAGTCGTTCCAAAGTTCTCAACGCGAATCGTATATACACACGGCGAAAAACTGATTGTATTCAATTAGTATTCATAAAGCACGGAACGATTAGTGGCATCGCGTAGAAGGGCTTTCATATACAAGCAAAAAAAAAAAAAAATATTAAAAAGGTTGCAAGGTTGTCTAAAAGGGTATTAAACGTTGCGGTATATGCAAAACGATATCCAGCATGTCTGTGTGGATGAATTACGTGAAGCATCGACATGCAGATTCAAATAAACGCTATAAAACTGAGTGCTATTATCAAGTGAGTGTGAAAAAAAAAATGTGTGTTTTGTTGAAATCATTAATTAACGAATTCTGAATTTTAGTAGACAAAGTGGCAGTCGCTATACAAGTAGATTTTGCCCTTATATAATTAAGGTGGTATAACTATGTATATACATACATATAACAATGCAGCAATTATGTATATATTTTACAAAAATTCCACTTCTCTCTGGCTCCACCAGCGGATACTGAATAAAATGTCGGCCTAAACAATCAGAATTTCAGAATCTAAACAAGCGATTTTCAGATTCGTGGTTTTTTGTAAATTTCGTAATCAGCTATCCAATAGGCCCGAAAAAATATATTTTTTAAGTTTTTTTTTTATTTAATGTTCATTTAATTTTCTTTGAGATATTGTCTTGCTAAAATTTAATAGACACAAATATTCAAAATTATAAACCGGGTGCGCCAGTTGAAGTGTCACCTTTTTGAAATATGTAGTCCCAGTTCGTCAGATAAGGTTAGGTTATGTGGCAGCCTCGCGTTAGTCTTGCGCAGTAGGGCAACGGTGAAGAAAATTTTGTGATGATTCCACCTCGTTATCCTCTTAACAGCTGGGCAAAAGGGGTTCGTAACTATATTAAGACCGTTTCAAATAGGAAAGTGTCTGATCTGGACTCCTGTCGCTATGCTATGCCAGTTTACCCTGCAGCGGCTGTCTGGTCGCCGGGGAAAAGTAGAAAGCAGTGGACGAAGCTACAGACATGCTTCAATACAGAACTCTGGGCAGCCACGGGATGCCCTCTGATGTTGTCTGAACATCAAATTCACAGTGAGTCCCAAAGGGAGCACAACATAATGGTCAGCAAACAATTTCTAGCAGGGTGCAATAGCCGAAAGCAGCCGGACAGACACTTGATCGAAGCGGAACCTCCACCTAGGTACATTAGAAGGCATCTCTACGAACTGAAGGACGAGGTCCAACGTTTTGTACAACAACCAATGGATGAGCGCAACTCTGGCCCAATTACGGTCTGTATATTGTAGACCTCTCAACTCCTACTTATCCAGACCCGATATACCTAATGAGTGTCCAGCATGTGGAGATTCACCCCAAGACACCAACTCAACCAACGCCTCTCTCCCTCTAGTCCGACACGTCGAAACAATAGCCGACAAAAATCGCATCTGTTGAGTAGTTCACAGGTTGTCACAGGAGCTAGGAGGGAGGGTATACCCTGTGAGGGGAGATTACGTCAAAAGTGCCCTGTCTAGCCAATTCATCATCCATGATGTTTTCTGCAATAGTCACTGTGTTCGGGAACCTAAATCATCATGATTTGGAAGTATACCGAAGCGATCGAGCGAACCGCCTGCCCATTGGAATTTAAGTCTACTCTACCCAATTCATAAGCGTGACTCTGCTCAAAGCAGTTTTATATCAGAAGAGGTTTCAGACAAGGTGATTCCTTATTGTTGAATTGAATTGTTTACCCTTATTTCGAAGACGATAACACTGTAGGTAAATTTTAAAGTTTTGAAATATCACGGTTAAACAACCAAACACGTAAACTTAATTTTGGCCTCTAGATTACGATGCCGGTTTTAGAAAATCCGTATCAAGGCAAAATTTTGAGATATTTAGGAGGGAAGTTTTAGTGCGCTCCGGTTTTGAACTTTTCTCTGAGCATAGGTTTTGATAGCTGATCTTCCTTAACTGCGATCTTTTAAATTCAATGGCGTCCCCAGTTTTTGCCAGATTGGCTCCAGTTTTCAAGATAGCGGAACTTGAAAATATGCTTAAATTTTAGCTTTTCTGTTAATAATTTTAGAATATATTTTTTTATATATGTTATCGCGTAACTTTGGACCACGTTAAACGATTGCTATAATTATTTTTTTAAAGGAAAGGTGATACCTCAGAGTTGGTTTAGATCCGATCATTGGTTCATGAAGAAATTAACGGAACTTTTAAATTTTTATTTGAGGGTTGAAGTCGGTTGTTTCTTGCTTACAAATCAATTGTGGCACGAATGGTTTTTTTTATACCCTTTGCCTGCTGCGATCGACCAGCAAATGTTCGCCAACATTGAATTCAATCGTTTTCCAGTGAATAGATCCTCATAATGGATTGGTGAAATCTTTCACCTACCTACCTCGTCGTTTTCTGTTGCAAGTTGTTGTTCGTAAAAGTCAAAGTACCGGTATAGCATATGGAATTACCACAAACGATACAAAAGTTGTTTAATTTATTTGACAAGCTTCTTAGTTTCTTTGATCTTTAGGAGTTTCCGAAGACATTGATATAATGAAAAAAAGTTTTCGCAAATTTTCCGATGTTTTTTTGTCAATTAATATAACAGCAATCGCCCGCGTAGGGTTTCGGTTTATGTTGTTTGGTTATCATGACTTGCCAACTTATGTCAAATATGACGCGGTATGGACCAGCGCCTATTGGAAAACATTACATAGTTACTTTGACCAAGAGCTTTGACAGCACAAAAAAGGTATTAAAAACCCATTCGGACTTAACTCGGACTTAATCCGGATCAACTGCAGTTAGCTCCCGAGTTGATCCGGATCAACGCTGCCGTCTGTTTATGCTTTAAGGCTTCCATCTTTAATATCTTGACGTAATACGGATTTTATGAAAACGGCATCGTAATCTAGAAGCCAAAATTAAGTTTATGTTTTTGGTCGTTTAGCTGTCATATTTTTGCCTCCCTACTGCGTAATAAGAGCTGCAGAACCCTACCGCTCACGTATAACGATGATATTGACATCCTCGTTCTCAACAACAGCGCCAGACAGAGAGGCAACACATAAGGGTCTGGTCGTAAACGGGGATAAAATAAAATATATCCTGCTATCAAAAAAACATTCAAGAGTATAGAAATTCAACCAAGAACAGATCTAGTGAATTAGTGCTACTTTGCTCGACGAATTTGTGGCGGCGAGTATCTGAGACGTTGAGCTCCATGAGCTTGACAAAGGCAAAGGCTACGCCTGGAAGACCACTTCGCAGGAATGGATGGAAATGCTTCAACTCTGAAAGTTTTCAATGTGGCATCCGTTGGTAGTGGTAGAGGGTGGTGTGGCTCCCTCAGCGTTGGATAGACCAGCTTGAGAGGGACTTGTTCCAAATTTTTCCGAGAAGCAGACCTTTTTGCACTGATGGTAACAATAGTTGCGTTCCAGATGCTTCACGATATTCACGAAATTCACGATTTGCAGGAAAAGCTGTTTTCCCCATTAATAAACCTTATGGGAGGTGGTCACCTGGAACGACTTCCTGTAAAAACCTGCAAATCGTGAAGCATCTGGAAAGCAACTAATATGTGCTTACACATTAAAAAAATGTCAATTTTTTTGTGCAGTTGTTGGCATCTTGACACCATTTAAGTATTTTTGCTGGCTGCTCGCCAAAGTAAAAAATAGCGGCGATTAAAATTATCAAGCGGCGATGTACATTTTATATTAATAGCTTGACTAAAAGTATGTGAAGAGCAAACCGGCACATCGCTGCGTACCTGTAGGTCACCACATTAGCGATTTTCTCAAATGTTTACATACTGAATTCATTATCTCCACAATGTACTCGAGTTCGGTGGTTACTAATAATAGCTACATTAGTTTGTTTTTTTTTCATTTTTAAATAAAGCATTCTATATAAAGTACCTTTTAGTTAAGTGAACTCGGACATACAAATAAACAATTTGTTTTTGTTTGTTTTTCATTCAAATTTCAGCAACGGCACTCACAGCCTGAATTCGTGGAAACACAAATACGCCATTCACGATCCAGTCCGCGCCCGCTTTCTGAAGCCAACTCTGAGCTAAGCTGCGATCTATTAGACAGCGATCACAAAGGCACCTGCAAGTCAAATTATGAGCTGTCCACCGCGTCGCCGAATGCTGCAGCATCTGCGGGCAACAATAGCTACTCGACTGAGCCTGTGACTAGCGGCGATGAGGCAGCCAACAAGCGTTCGAGCGTCAATTCGAACGAGACAACGTCAGGCGTCAGTGCCACCGGCAGCGGCAGCGTTAGCGCACAAGGCGGCGAGCGGAAGCGTGCACTGCCCAAACACCAGCGTCCGCTGACACGCTACCTGCCAATCTTTTCACCCGATCTAAACCTCCGCCATCATATCGAGTCAGCTGGACATCAGATTACACTATGCCCGCACGTCTTTGTCGATGCTTTTAGCTGCCGAGGGTGAGTGATCCGATCCCGAACGCATTTGCATTCGGCATGATTTGTTTATACGAATTGTCTTATTTTGTATGAAATGTAAATATTTTTCAGCTATTTGCATAAATTGGGTGCTACTTTCCATGGCTGGGCGCGACGGTGGTTCGTACTTGATCGACAGCGCAGCGCGTTCATCTACTATGCGGACAAGTCGGAACGGAAGCCCAGAGGTGGCGCCTATTTCTCGGTGAGTTTTGAATGAACCAAAAACTTTGTTTAGTTTTTTTTTTTAGAATTTGGTATTTTCGCAAAATATATGAATGTGCTTACAAAATAAACATTTGGTGAGATGAATTAAAAATGAACATACATATGTATCTACATACATACGTATAGCCTAGTGGCGCGCAAATCCAGAATAGATGCTTGCCGGCTAACGGCCATATTTCTGATAATCCCATTCCTTGTTGTCTAACGGACATACCTGGCGGGTTTTGAGCCAACGCGAAATACAGTGGAAGTGAAAAGCGTGATTGCATGCGCCCCATGCCACCGTGCATTCCTCCTTAGTGCCGGAACAAAGCGGATTCGCCTGGCACTCAATGCAGAGATCCATGATTTGGTTGCGGCAAATTGCGCAATTATCGACGGCTACGTCCCACGACCAAAGCGCCTGCGCCTGCCACTTTTTCACGACGAAGCGCTTCGTTTGTGGATGCGTAGTGCTGCAAGTCGGTATTTCATCGGAGAATTCTTCGATGTCATGAAATTCCTCGACATCGGTGTCATCCACATCCATTTGGTTGCTGGACATATTTGAGCGTGTTTGAACAAAGCAGCGTTTTAAGGTACCTCGGATTTGCAAAGTATAACTAACTGGCAGTTGATTAGGGTGAAAACTGCTGTAGTAATAAATCTAATAGCGAATATTTTGTGCGAAAGCTTATTGAACAAATTTCAATTTGGGACAGTTGACATTTTGACTGATGTTTTTTGAAATGATGCCATATCCTTTTGAACATTAAAGTAACTTTTTCCCATTTTTTTTTTTAGACAATCGACGAAGTGTATTTGGATCATTTAAATGCCTCGAAGAGTGGACGCCCTCATTGCACATTCATTGTCAAGACGAAAAAGCGCAGCTACCATCTACAAGCGGCATCGGACGCTGCAGCTAGAATATGGATCGATGCAATTATAACCGGAGCTCAAGGAAATTTAGACTACTAGTTAAGAGTTACTTTAGTGCATTTTAAGCACTTGAATTATTGTAAAATAGTACTTTTAGGCTAGTAAAAATTAATACATTTAATATAAGAAATTCCCGTTTAGGACCAAAGTGAATTATATTCGAAATTGCTGAAGAGTGAACTGTTGCTCACATACATATACTGACTTATGTATATATTTTTAAATGAGGTTTAACTTATTATTCTTAAGCGTTAAGGAAGTGTAACTATTGCTCAATTTTTCTAAAGGACATTGAAAATTATACCAGACATTCATCAGGCCCACGTAATAAATATTTATATCTAATGAGCAATCGATTTAACTAACTAAATATGAATATGTTTCTACACATGTGTGCCTTTTCGATGATTTGCAATGAAATTTTCTTCGCTTTTTTCACAATTTTTTATTTGGACAATTTTTTTTTACATAACTGAACAAAAACGTATATGTACGTTGGAAACTCATGTGTATTAATGTTTTTGCAATAACGCAATTATTTTGTCGTACACTTGGTTGAGCCAAAAGTTTTTAAACTACATATACTTAAATGTATTTATTGATACATATATACATATATACTTATGTATACCTGCATACATATAATCTATTTGTAAACTTTACGTTATTAAAATATGATTCTAAAATAAAATGTAATTTTTTGAGAAAATATTATTAACTGAATTTTTTTTTTTTGGCCTTTTAAGTACTCGATTTCTGATAATGCCAGGCAATTATTTATCTTCATATTTTTTTATATAAGCATTAAGCCAATCTTGAAATTTTACCATGTGCTCGTCCACAGTGCCCACAAAATTATGTGATTCAAATGCAGGCGGTGAATTTTCGGTCACACCAAAAATGCTGCGTATGAAGCGTTCGCACATGAAAACAGCTGCAACGACATCGCAAGGCAACACTTCATGGCGGAAGCAAAGTTTTGCAAATGACTCCGCAAATTGTTTCAATACCACATACGCTTGTTTGGTTAGGCATTCTGGGGATGAATATGATGAATGTATGTTTGTGAGGTTAGCATTTTAATCGTAATTTTATTAGTGTAATTTTTTACCCGGCCGAGCGAAGCGCGCCGTTACAAAGTATTTTTGCAACAATAGCGAGGCTTCCGGTGTCAAATCAACGGTACGTTTAGAAATCGTCCTTAGAAAACAACGCATATCATCACTGCTAATTGACAAGTGATCAACGGTCGACTCAAAGACGTTGACTGACGACTGCTCCAAAATGTAATCGACGAGTACCTCGTGCTTATCGTCGTCGTCCATACAAATAGGAATGCCGAAAATTCTGTAAGAAAAATTCACAACACAGTTTGAAAGTAAAATGTAACATTCATTTTTGCGTCGCTCTACTCACTTTACCACTTTATTAAAAGTTTGCTGATCTCTAGCATCGCCCTTATGTGACCGCCAGTGTGTCCAAATTGCGCACTCTAATGGACATGTTAGTGTTGAACGCTCAAGGGGCACTCGTGAACATTCGATGATGCGGAAAAGTTGATCGGCCCGCGTCAGCTTCAAGCGCGACCAATCGCCAACAAAATAAACACCGTCTTTCGCTAGCAGTATTGGGTCGGCTACAATCCAATTGCAGTTGCGATAGTTAGTAATGGATGGCGGTTTGACGTCGTCTGATGGTCCAACAAAGCGCGCCGCCAGCTGCCCTATATTAGTAAGTAAAAAGTTAGCCATATAGGTGTCGCTGCCAAATGCCATTATAGGTACGGGTGGCCGATCGGGATTAGACTGTAAAACTTAAATTAGATGCGAAAGGAAGTAGCGAAGCAGCCGGAATACCTACGCTGATGGAAGCTAAGCTAAGCAGTAGACCCATTTTCAAATTAACGAAACAATCCATTGGCACACGATCTTGGCACAGCTGTGCACTTAACGCATACACAAAGGCAAAATCGGAGTACTGTGTGCGCACAAGATCATACAATTGCTTCACAGACGCTGGCACCATGGTGGTGTCCGTTGTTAAATTGCATGCTGGCGAACTCGTAATCGCACTAGCCGCGGAAGCTAGTGAGTGTTGCAAATTTTCATGACACTGAGCTGAAGGATTCGATTTGTCAACAGTTTTGAAAGTGTAATCAACGGCATCTAATTGTATGTTTGCTGGCGAACTCGCCAACCTCATTTGATCATCAGCGGAAATAGTGCTGGGTAAAGCTGGGCTCTGCTCGATGCGGATTGGTACTGGACACGATGTGATGATTGGCTTTGTTGGATGATCTTCTTGTTTTGGAGCATCCACCTGAGTTTGACACTGAGAATTAAACGATTCACTATGAAAGGAGTTGCTGCAACTTGTATTCTTAAATTAAAGACCCATAGTTATAATAATTTTTACGAAGAGAAATCATGAGTTTACCTTAACTTAAATTTTCAAATAAAAAAGTACTACTAGTAGCACAAGTAGTACAAGTAGCAATATTTCTGCATTTCAAAAACAAAAATAAAAAAATTTGCTCATGTCTTTTTGGCAGTTAAGCCTCGATATGTATGATAACATGATGATAACCTAAAAGCAGGGGCGGAAAATAATATTTTTTTAAATTTTAATTATCTATAAAGTCAGAACGTTCTAAGCTTCTCAAAAAAACTCGATCGCACCCAGATATATATGTTTCTTTCTGTATTCTGTTATAATATATTGTGTTTAACTTTTGTTTTTATATTTTTCAAGTTTCAGATTTTTTTCTCGCTCAAAAATAATTATTATTTTATTTTCTCACTAAATAGTAATGATTATTCAGAACACCCAAAAGTGATTTCCAAAATAACGTTTTGAGAGGTAGCGACACCATAATAAATAAATCTCAAATTTTTAAGCTGTGGAATTTATAAAGTGAAAAATATTTCGCTAAGCTATGTATGTATGATTTTTAGTAACCTTTTACAGGAGTCTTCCAAAATAACTCCATTCTTTTCTTTCGAAACTTTCAGTTGAAAAAAAAAATGGTTAGCTGTTAACGATCAAGAAGCCCTTTTTGCAATTTTTTGGAAATTAATTTCGGAAATAAGACATGCTAGTTGAGAGTGTAACTGATCAAATCGCTGTCGAAAATTAATTTTAGCTTCCTTCTGTTGCACTAGCGATTTTAATTTTTGTTAAAAGTGCTGTATAACTCATTTCCGGCGGATTTGTGTAAAAAACATAATAGGGGTCATCATGAAAAGTGACAAACTGCTGATAAATTTGATAAAGTGATAAATTTCGTCATTTTGATAAATAAATTGTCAAATTATTTAGCCAAAGTTTATCACTTTATCAAAATATTTTGATGGATAAATGCATAAATTTCAGCAAAATTCAACCCTGACAGGTTGCCAGGTGGTAGCTTTTGCTACGAACATAAAAAAAGCAAATCAACACAACTGACGATGTGAGAAATAAACGTAACTAACCATATAAGTTAAATAACTATTAACTATTTTATGCCATTATCTACCAAATTGATGAAGAACTCTAATTTAATGTTTAATAAAATATCAAATTTTTATAACTACTTTCGAAAGTTACTTTACACGCATTGTGTGACTGCTAGTACAATTCCTTTGCCATATCTGATTGCCTAATAGCAACTTACTTTAAAATTTGTAGGAGTATTTACGTATAACTACGTGCATAAATAATAATAATAATTGAAATACCGCTCGCTTTTGTCTTGAATCGGCAGCTTTTAAAGCGTCTTGTTCTGGTGATGAATGCATATCGACATCCTTACAAGTGGGAAAATCATCATCAGAAAAGTTTTCAAATATTGTCAAATCCATTAATTCTTTTTTAACAATTTCATCAAAAGATTCTATCTGCATTGCTGTATTTTGAATTCTCCCAGAAATATATTCAGTTTGCGTTCCTTCGTTTACTGGCTTTTGGATTTCAGTGTTGGTTACTTCAATACTTTCTACTTCCGGCGAATTAAATATAACAGACTGAGGTCTCTCTGAAGCTTGTTGAGAAAAATTAAGAGTAAGGTCCAGATCATCGGGAAAATAATTTATGTCGCCAACTTGAGAATTCATTTGTGAGGGAAGCTCCTCCCGATTAAATTGTAAGATACTAAGCGTTCGATCTGGGTATGCATTATTATCGTTCAGCCGTTGTTGCTCTGAGTTATTCGAGAACCGTCTGGATGGCGGTGGGCTATCAAAGTGCAACAAGGCATCCAATTCAGTATCGGTAATGTTGCGCAGACTCTCAAATGTGCTTTCTAATATGTTTTTATGCTCCATGCTTGAAATAGCTGGCCAGGGCGCGTATAATCGTAGAAGCCTATTATCTTATATAGATTACCTAAACGCAAATCGCAATCGTAGACGTGTTCTGAAGAGTATTATTTTTAGATATTATGTATAACCAGTTTAATTGGTAATAGCATACTTTACCTCTGGCTTGCACGGTAAGCGCACGAAAGATCTTATTCAAAATGCGAGGGGTTTCAATGCACTCAGGTGGGAGAATTCGCAATAAACGGTAATTTTCCGTTACACGTAATTTTGGGTATTCATTCATTTGACGTCCACAACTGTTGCATGTAGGTGCTATTTATATATTTACATATGTATGTACATATGTGCATATATGTTGAGTATTATCAAACTTAATTAATTTTTCGGTATATAAAAATCTTACCATCTGTTGACTCCGATTTTATTTTATTTCGATTGCATCCGGTTGAACAATACCATGTCGATTGTAGTCTAATAATTGAGAGAATAACAGTAAGATTACATTTTTCCAGGCGCATATAAGGTATTTGAAAAACATCGCATATTTCGCACAATCAGGTATGTATATAAATGGTTTTGTATTAAATATTCAAATAGCTTTTGCAAAGAACATAGGTATAATTCGATGTAATTTTCTTTAATAACACTGGTCGACGGCCAAAATTTACCAGAGACGCCGTTATG